AAGGATCACATTATATTAAAGAATAACAATATTACACGGTTATTTAACCGTGTATTAAGGATGGATTCGACCAAATACTATGTTAAACCAGAGTAAATAACTCTCGAATAATTTTACTCTTTGGTCTTACACCAAGATAACTTCATTTTGCGTTTTGTAACATAAACGTAGAGAAGCCAATACTGGCTGTTGTTACTCCAGAATTGGTAGTTGGTGGTAGAGTTTATTCATTCAAAGAAGTAAACTAACTTAAAACAAAATACAACTGTTGTAAAGTGCAATCCAAGATTTGAGGTCCACATAATTTGCCGTAGATGTAAATAATGCCGCCCAATGGCAGCCCCTCCTTAGTTGCTGACTTCTCCCCGCGTTTTCATTCTCAGATAAGGCGCACCAGAAACAAGCCACACTGCCCTTCGCGTCCTCTTACTCCACCAGCACTATGAACTCCCCGAGCCCGATATGTGAATAGAGCCAGGAAAAAACGAGCAGTTGGAGGCATCAAGTGGTGCAGCCTCACCAAAGTCGCGAAAGATAGTCAAGTGGCCCATTGCCAATCGGCATACCAACACTCCTCTTGCCTTACGACTCCACCTCGACTACAGCGGTACAAGGAGAGGAATCTCCTGTAGCCGCAGGCCACTAAAACACATACAACGTGGCTCGACATCATCAGGCGACCTTACGACACTTGGCTGTGGCCCTTGAGTTTGGTGAAAAATGAGGAAAGACGAAATAAAAAAAACATTCGAAATAATAATCTAATACTTTTGTACTTACTGGTACTGGTACTACCAGAAAATATTGTCAGTATACTGCACTTTTTCAAAGTGGTGCAGTTCTCATGTCTAATAAAACAGTCGTCTGTGAAATGTTTGGAACAAATATGATCATTTTGTTTCGGACGCCAATTCACAATATTTATGCTTTTAATCCATGATTTTAATCTAGGTTCAATTGGAAAGTGTTAATTAACAAAATAATATATTAGAATAGAATAGAATGATTTGGAAAGAAAATCTTGTTTTTAATAAAACAAGATTTTCTTGCCAATAAAATATAATGACAAACGACAGGAATTCCTTTCATATTATGTCAGTTTAAATTCCTGGAAGTATCTTAATTTTATCACGTGCATGAAATACCGTTTATGGTTTAAGAAGCCAAATTTTAGACTTATAATAAATAGGGGTTATTTTCATCTATGTATCCATTAATTTTGTTATAAATTAAATAGTTACCTACATTTAAAAGTTAATGCTTTGAAAATAAAATAGATACGTAATAATTGGGTTTATTTGTTAAACTTGTCAAAGATGAAGTGGTCATAGTAGAGGTTGCAGTGAGTAGAAAATAAAAAGGTGCTGAATTGAAGGTCATGCATTATAGAGCCATGCTGTAGCTGTATTATAGTTGTAGCGCGAATGTTATAATAGAAAGTGTTGACTCGACTGAGGAACGACCACGCTCTCACAGAATACCAGCGTAAAATAGCTGCCTAATTCTGCTGTATATCGCAGGGTGAGTGTAAAAATTCGGAGAAATCATTCTACTGAAAATAAGGCATTCCATCTTAGTCTTCAACGGTGACAACGCAACGCAAATTTACGATATTTGTAGATGTCTATCGGCATTCACTTAACTTCAGATAGACTGAGTGCTCGTTTGTCACCTTATTTAAAAAAAAGTAAAGATAGAATTACCCGCTTTGAGTAGCATAAAAATTGACGCAGATATATTCCGATAAAGTCATTCAAACCGTTGTCTTGTTTATCGATCATCGATGATATATCGATGATTAAAAGCAACCGAATGTTGATGGGTTAAAAATCGTCTTGCTTGCAGGCGATTTTTGGTAGACGCTCCTGCTTTTCAAGCGAGGAATAAAATTAAAGCGTGTCTTAGGGTTAGGTCTCTCAGTGATTTTACTTTTTGTCTTAATCGATAAACATTTTTATTAAACTTGAATCATATTGTAAAAGTATACATCTTTATGATGGTCGAATTAGTAGTAAACAAGTACAAATGTCTATTGGTAAAGTACTAAATGCCCTCTATTTTGGCTCCAGACTTCACAGTGTATGTAGAAGTCCTCATTTTGTCACGCTTATAATTCTACAATTTTCATGTACTAAATTATTATTAGGTGCTGTATCTTTTGAACTGTCATCTGTAGTAATGCATACTTTTATATTATTTCATTAAAATAACGCTCAATCTTATGTCCGTTATCGATTAATTTAATGTGTTACTCGCTCACAATTATTCTTTCTCTGGTAGTGGACCCACACGTAGGCTCCTCTCTCATTCTAAAGTATTCCACGGTATAGTATACTTTTAGAATATTTTTAATTTGTCGAGATGTTTTGTCATCTAATTGTTTAGCTACTTTCTTAGGCAATTTATTCAGAATGGAAGAGCGTATGTCCACATCTTTTTATGGTATTCATTATTTATTTTTGGCAGTTTACACAGAGGCAAGTACGACAGGATACGACCAAAATTTGATCTACTTCTTTATTGTAATTGGCTCATATTATGTTCACAATAATCAAATACACCACGTGAAGATTTCAAATTTTACACATATTTGTTGGTAGTGAGGAGTAAAAGACTCCTAAAAAACTCCTCATTACTAACGCCCCAAGCCAAAAATTCGAATTTTTTACTACACGTCAGTATGCTGGAAAGAGGATTTTATAACTTCGCCAACATTATCCTTGAAAATTTAAAAACCTTGACAGACAAACAGATAACGAGGTGATTCCATGTTCCATTTAAATAATATTATGATTATTTATTTTTTTGGATATAAATGCATATGCTTAGATATAAAGGGATATTTAGACAATAACAAATACTCTCTATTTATTTAAAATCCCTTTTCAATTTCGAAAATATTTTTAAAGATTTTGTCTACAAAACAAAATAAATGCATTAAGAATAAGTTCACAAAAATAAAATTGTTGGTTAGCGGCTTAAAAAAATATTCTACACCTACATCTACATTATAAATAAATCGTCAGTGGAGCGATCGTAGCGTCTCTACAATGTTTGTTGATTGGCGCGGTGTAAGTACTGTTATCAATAGTTTCTAGTTAAATATTTAAATATGAAGAGCACTGTATAGGGTATTTAAAGTGCGTAGTCTGTGACTTTATTTGGTTAATGATAAAATGACCCGATTGCTACTATATATCTTTATTTTGACAGTATTTCTCAATTTAATCATAGTCGAAACTGCACCGATTTCAGATCAGGACTTTATCGTAGCGTTCAGTAATCCAGTAAAGGATTTAGTAGATTTTCTTGTCCATAAACTTCGTAATAACTTCGAACACAAAGGTGACGGAAAAAACGTCACACCTGGGCCGTCAATGATTGATGTGCCTATGAATACAAATAGCTGTACAAACGGTGCGGTGAAGGATATCTACGGAGCGTGTAGGATACCGTGGTGACTGAGGTCTGTAGCTACACGCACAGAAGACACATAGAATCACTGCGCAGTTTATTCAATAGCATTTGATAAAATGAACGTAAAAAGGATGCTGTTTGTGACCATATTTATTTTGTGTACATTTTCTTTGGGACAAAGTGGAGTTATGTTTAACTTCCATGAAAAATTGCGTATGGCCACTTCGACTACAACTGAGAATATAAAAACCGGTCAAATCATTAGAGTGCCTCAATTGGATTGCCCTGATGGGCAGCGGCGTGATCATCTCGGTAATTGCAGACAAAGATTTTAATACGTGAGTACTATATAATTGATACTTAACATTTAAATGTTAGTTTAAACATATAAAAATAAAATCGTGCTAAGAACGTCATATATACATCCAACTTGCAGCGTTAAAGGCAGCATAAAGTCAATTTTTCAGTTTGAAAAATTAATTTTATATTTTGATTATGTTCTGTAGCATTATCTTCTTTTTCCACATCAAAATATAAACAGTTTACTGCTGGAGGTATACAGATATATACCGTATATAAGCCAGTAGTTAGGATAAGACATAATCAATACGCTTGGTAAACGAATTGAACACAGTTTGGTGTACGAATTTTAGGTCCACTATTATTTTATATGTATTATAAAATAGAAATAATAAACAAATTAACAGTCCATCTGATGGTATTAACGTGCTATTAACTAACTACTAACCCAAACAAAGTAGGCTAGATGTAGGATAAATGCACTGAACCTGGCATGCCTTACAGCCTATAATACAGGTTATATATATACAGGTTATGTTACATATATAATATATTATATATACATCAGAATACAACATGGCACGTGCTTTTTGATACTTGAGGGCAAAAATACATATATGAAGGTGATTTTCTTTTCTTTCTGTCACCATAGTTGCCTCTTACGATACTCGCATGAATTCTTTTACGTCCTCTGCGTGTGGCTAATTAAATTATACTAATAATTAATAATATAAGTTAATATAAGTATTTTAAAAGTCTCAAAAAGACAGGAATCTGTAAAGAATTAAAGGATAAACTTGTATCAGTTACATAAAATTTTGATTTATTATCGTTATACCTAATGCAAAAAATACTATAATATTTATTAATACAAGACAAGAAAGTATTTGAGCTATATTTCTTCGAGTATTATTTATCGAATGTATATCTTACATCGCTAGCTTTCCAAAATATTTAATGTGAAAAGTATTTCAATTAAATTGTGATTTGATAATATTAACAATAGTATATTTATTACAGATGGGAACGCAGTGGTAAAGAAATAAGTATCATGTACAAAGATAATATTAACTAAAAAAATTATTTACGCGGTTGTCTCTTAATGAGGTAATCTATATGTATATTATCAATTCGTAGAACGCGACACTTATCGCAAGTTACTGAAGATTCCGTTGGCGCTAGGTCATAAAGTTATCAATTCATATTCTCGAAAGAAGCTTATTAATGACAATGAGAAAACATAATCTAAAGAACTGTGAGATGAAAGAGACGTTTAAGGCGAAATGAAGTTATCAATTTTAATTTTGTTTTGCTACGTTTTTACAATTTTAAGTCCTCGAGTAAAAGGAGACGTTGTTGTAGATTTGTTTGGTAAAATTCAAGAGTCAGCGCAGAAGATTGAAGATGATATAAAAAGTGTTTTTCAATCAAAAAGTAGAAGGGATAGCCAATATAGATATGAATCTATGATTGTATTTAAGAATGATGAAGATGCACCTGATAAAACTACTGCCACAAACGTTGTTACAAGCACACAAGTTCCGGTAACGACAGTAAAAGGTGATTCAAACAGTAAAACAAATGGAACGGAGCAAGATGGAAGAGAAAATTTCAGAGGTGCTTGTGCTACAGGTTACGAGCGTACAGCTGATGGAAGATGTAAACCTACTTTTTAATCCACATCATTTAAATTTAAACAAATAAAAATGCCTTGAGGTCTCATTTTACGGAAATAATCTTTTTGAATTATCAACTAGTACATAATTTGTTTAACACTAAAGCCTAACTTGCTGGCGTTACAGGTTGTGCTTGAAATACTAAAGTTACTGGTACTACATTTTTATCGTTATTTTTATTACCATTTACTAACACATAAGCTTGACCCGCGTCATAAGTTATTTTTTCGTTATTTTTTGTTGAAATATCAACTTTGTTATAAGAATTTAGTAAATTGGTATTTCCGTTCATTTGATCCTCTGTTCCGTAAATATTTTGGTGCATTAAGTTTTGGGGGTCCTTGTTAATATTACCCATATTTGACGTTGGTCTATTATAGTTAAAATTATTGGTTAGTCTATTATAGCTAAAGTCTGTGTCCCCTTCCTGTGAAAATGTGTCTTCATTATCATAATCACGGTGAGGATTTCCTTTTCCTGGCTTTTTTCCTTTTTGCTTCTGATGCCCTGGTGGTCCTCCAGGTTGATGACCTGGTGGTCCTCCAGGTTGACGACCTGGAGGTCCTCCGGGTTGATGACCTGGTGGTCCTTCAGGTTGACGACCTGGAGGTCCTCCGGGTTGATGACCTGGTGGTCCTCTACCCCATATAGGAGGAGGAGGTCCTTGAGGTGAACGTTTTTCTGCAATTTAAATAAAAAAATAATTCTGGTGAAGATCTTTCATGTTTTTCATCACTCAGTCCGGAAGTAGTTTACTAGGGAAATTTGTATGTTGTGAAATCATATGAATAAAATTATCCCATGGATGTTAAAATATTTGGGGAAAGGATTTGAATGTCTTATGGATTCCGATTGATGTCGTTAAAACATTGTATTTCTGCTTGATATTAAATCGCTAAGCCACCCACTTAAACTGGATATTACACCGGATGTTTCTTAATATGGGGAATCCCCATAAATAGTACATCCGTATAAGGCAGCTAAGGGTTTTAAGGTTTTCACTATCAGAAATTTTTTGTTTAAAAATTTAGTTCTTAATTACGCGAAATAAAGTCTATCATCAGTTAAGATATCCAACCTATTGCACAACAATATTATATAGGAGGCCATTTTTATTTAACATAAAAGAAAGTATGTATTATCCGACTGTAAAACAAAAAAAAAAATGGTTGAATAAAGTATAAAAGTCGACTTCAAAGAACTAAAAAGAATAAAATAATATCACACCGAGAACCGAAGAGCCTTTTTACTGGAAAGAGGCTTTCCTATTCAGTCCTTAGGGGTGACAACGCATCTGATTCTTAATCGAGGATAGGTGTCTATGGGCCACAGCATAAACTTGCTATCAGCTGACCTGTGTTCTCGTATATACCGTACCATACCATACCATACTATAGTACCTACTGTATAGTATGGTAGAAGAAATAAGTTCAAAACTCAGAATGTCAAATCGTGTCTTATTCTTTTTAGTTATTTGAAGTCAGCTTATACTTTTATTAAAATTATTTTTTTACACTTTTCTTGTAGATTTTCTTGTGAATTTATTGTGGACTAAGGAATATCGCGATCTCAATGTCATATTAACAGTTAAATGGAAAACTTGATCCCGTATTTGAATTTTTTTGAACAATTTGATGAAGAAAAAGAATCATCAATATCGGCTCACGATCCACGAAGATGTTATACTCATACAGTAAAAACATACAGTCGAATTGTCTTCCTTTTTTGAAGTCTACCGTTTAAATACAACAAATATATAGGCTGTAGTTAATTTACAATAACAGTAACTGTAATTTCAATGCCTTTATATAGTGTGTGTAATAAGGAATAAAAAAGTAAAGTTTTACCATTTTTAAATATTTTGTTGAAAAAGATAAAATTAATTAATGATAATATATAATTGTATTTTTGTTTATGAGATAGTGATTACCGATATTTTTTTTAAATAATAGTCAAACATATGAGTATTATTTATTTGGTCATGATTGTGTTAAAATGTTCTGATTCTGGTATTGCCTTTTCACACGTAGTCAGCAAAAAATTCCTTCATTTTAAAAAAGCACTTAAAATTTCAATTCGCAACTTCATTGGTGCCGGCGGGAAACGAACGGGTCGCATACTCTAAAATTTATAACGAGCGCTTAACCTCTGATACCAGGGTTCATTGAGATGCATATATTTATTATATACAAATTGGTATATACTTCTACATGCCATGTTATTAAATTTGGAGATCATCTGTTTTATCTCAACATTGGTCACGCTATATTAACGAAATAAAAGATAGTAAGTCAAGTGCTCACTGCACACATACAACTCGGGTACGGTCCCCGCCAATACCAATGAAATTGTAACTTGCCATTTTAACTGCTGGTTGTAATTCAAGTTTTCAATAATGAAGGCAAATACACTGTGAGAAAACTGCATGTCTGAGAAATAAAATAACTCAAAGACGTTTGTGAAATCCGCCAAAACGTATTGGAGCAGCACGGCGAACTAATTATCCAGATTTGTCAGATAAGATTGCTTTTATTAGTATTCTAACCGCTTTGTTATAAAAGTTATTTCTCAGTTCACATAATGCAAAAATATTTATAAGTATTTTGGCATAACCGGTACCTATTAGTACCAGGATACTCCGGCCTTTGTGTAAAACCAGTTTAGAAATTCAAATATTACTTTAGCTGTCGTGATTCTTATTAAGATTGTTGTTTTGTTAAGTTGTTGCAAAACTGTAACTTGGAAGAAATTACAAAAATAATTATGAATATCTTGAGAATTATTTTATAACCAATAAATGTTAATTTTAATAAATTTTCAAAAAAAAAAATATGAATAAATAAACTTTTGTATATATGTGAAAGCAAAGGTCAAAGATGTTGTAAGACGAATTCCTGTTCACTTTCAAGTAGTCTAAGTAAAAGGTAATATTATTTTGTACTAAAAATTGAAATACGCATCGTTGTATGTTGTAAAAATCTGTATTTATGCATCATAATATGCTTAACTTACGCGAATTAAAATATTATGGGAAAGGTTTTGAAGCATTATTATTTTTTATAGTTTAATTTTAGCATCACACAGAGAATAACTTGGTTTCTTCTTGTATCTTTTTCGTGACTGTTAACTAAATATTTGGTTTATTTTGTGAAACGTAACGCTCAGTGCTAAAATACACCAATTCAATCAAATTTAATTAATATATTTATTATTATTAATATATTTATTGTATGGAATATGTCATAAATATTATTATTATTTTAATAATGAAGAATAAAACCTGTTACGATATCGCCCTTGACATTATCGTGCGTACACTATTGCGAAAAAACATAGAAAATAATTTTAAATACAGTAAATTACAATATGTTATATAAACAAAAACAATACCTCGAGTGATTGCGTTTGAAGTCGTACTTATATTCAGCATGAGATACACACATAGTATGGAAATGGAGGGAAGGCACTTTAGTAACATTTTGTCTCTCCTAAAAATTAATCACAAAACTACACAGGTGTCATAATATGTCTGTGCGGTAGCAGCTAGTAACCAAGCAACTAATTTTCCATCACTCACATCGAAACAAGTTTATATTGTATTGGATATGTGTGCACAATGAGTCATAGGTTTTTACGTATCGTGATTTTTCTATTTAAGCTCAAATGTGCATATCATCTTTGTTATAAGGTAATAGATAAGAATAGAATGTTTTAAAGTCTATTTATATTACTGATCAGCGGTGGTATAATAGAAACCGCTACCTTATATTATCCCGTGGGTGTCGTGAGAGGTGACAGAGGAAAACTGAAATAGAATATGGCTGCAGCATCTTCACTATAACAGCACAAAATGTTTTAATCAATTTTCGGGTGTTAATCCTAGTCAGCATAGCAAATATTTCTAATTACCCCTATGAGACCATCTATGGTTGAGGCCTATATTTAGCAGTGTACTATTGCTTAGGCATTAGGCTGTAGTAAATGAAGGAAGAACGAATAATCTATGTAATTTATAAATAAAACTATATCATCAATTACTTCCTAATTTTATAATTAATTATTGCCTTGACTTGTTACTTTAAATTGCTCGATGCTTTCAGAAATAATTTATTTGAATTATAGAAAGATGAGCTTTATTTTATATTAAAGTTTATTTATTTACTTAAATAAGTATTTTTTATTGGTCGTAGTAGAGCAAAAGCTATGGGCTTAGCCACAGAATAAATAATAGTATGGCTAGGAAACAAGTATTTGCATTTTTCCAAGCATTTGCTTCGGGTGTTTGTACTTTTATAATTAGAGGGCTATTTTAAAATATAATTCATTTTCTTACTTCACAGGAATCCTAAAAACAATTTTTTTTATAATATGAATTCTAGCTAATTTTATAAATGCATTTTTTTATTAAAGTGGAAAATATTCCATACGTCTATTTCCGAGATTTTATTTTTGGTTACTTAGGAAAAGTAAATTATTAAATTTTAAACTTTTTGCTTACTAAGATTTTCGTGGAAAAATATTTTACAGTTGATAAAAATTACCTTGTTTCGTAATTCTTAATTACAACCCACTCCACCAACTCCAACCACTGTTTAACAACTTGGCAGTAATATTAATAACACTTATTATTTTTTTAGTTATTTTCCACAGAAACCGGATTTGCAATATGATGACTTAGAAACTGATAGCTCCTTCAGTGTATTCTGATGCAGGGCACCGGGCAGTTTAAAATTATACTAAATCATGATCCTGTGCATTAGGCCTGTAATCAGGATAAACCTGTGTATCAGGTTAAACAAAATCGAATTCTTTATTTTCTTTCACTAAACATTTATCCTACAAAAAATATAGAGCTGTGTACAACTGTTTCGGAATACCATCAAGATCATAAATTTTATTGTTCATGCTTTGTTGAACATAAATAATAAAGTATAAAGTACGATTTGATGTTATACCGTTTTGTGTTCTTAAATATATAAATAACTGAAAAAAAAAAAAACGGTGAAATGAATTCATTGTAAAATGTCACGGACTGAGTTTGTACGTTCTATAGTACTATACTAAGAAATAATTAATATATTGATACATGAAGGGAAAACATTATATTCCTTTTTAAAGCATACTGCGCGCATGTGAAGTGTCAGATTTAGCATAGTTGAAGTGTATTTGGTGAATGAGTGCAGAAAGTTAAAATTTATATATACAAAAACAGGTAATAATATAAAATAAAAAAATTGGTTGACCCTGCCGACCATCCTTGGAACTTCCCGTTAATTTCAATTGCAAAGCGCTCCAAATTTCACCAAATTATTTTGCGAAATCTCGAAGTTATGTTAAAAAAAAACGTTTTTTCCAAATTCTTTCTCCTTCGATATCTCACAAACGAATGAATTTTATTTTCCAAACGGCATTTGACGTCACTTTTTGAGATTAAGAGCTGATTAGTTTTTAAAATCGAACGGTAAAAAACTTTTTATAATTGTAATTTCTCAAAATCTACTCATCCAAATCAGCTCATATCATCACCAAATCTATTCCACATTCATCACACACCCGCAATCTCAATCGATCAAGACGTTCAAAAGTTATGAAAGGCTTACATACTTATACCTACACACACACACACACACACACACACACACACACACGCACACGCACACGCACACGCACACGCACACGCACACGCACACGCACACGCACACGCACACGCACACGCACACACAACGCACACGCAACGCACACGCACACGCACACGCACACGCACACGCACACGCACACGCACACGCACACGCACACGCACACGCACACGCACACGCACACGCACACGCACACGCACACGCACACGCACACGCACACGCACACGCACACGCACACGCACGCGCACGCGCACGCGCACGCGCACGCGCACGCGCCCGCACACGCACATGCACACGCACACGCACACGCACACACACACATACACACACACACACACACACACACACCACTCATGGTTTGGCTTGGAGTCTTATGTTCGGGCTTAACTGAGGTGTTTTTCTGTGAAAAAGGTGTAAAAACCAGTGCCGAGGTGTACCAAAATACCGTTCTAACAAACATAATGGAACTTCTTTCTCTAAATATGTTCAAAAACAGACATTGAGTATTCCAACGGGACTCTGCACCAGCTCATAGCGCACCAAGCACGCAAAACTGGTTGACCGCCCATGAAATTGACTTTATCGAACTCTTCTAGTCTACTGGATTATAAGATATAGCAAGATTTGGAGGAGAAAATCTGCGTTAAACCTCATCAGAATTTGGAATCTCTCCGAGCATCTCTGGCTAAAGCGGCGGCAGAAATAGATATGAGTGTGGTGCGTGCTGCGATTGATGATTGGCCGCGTCGATTATGGGCATGTATTCAAAATAGGGGAGGGCATTTTGAACAATGTAAATAAAATCGTATTCTAAATTAAATAACGTTTCATTTTTTCTATATAATTTTCAAAAAGTGTATCATTAATTTTATTAAAAGTTTTTGACAGAACTTATGACTTGACTAAGTATATTATTTGGTAGGACGTAGTGGATTCTTTTACGCCGCCGTTACACGGTATTAACAAGATCCTGCCTACACTTCATGATTTAGAAATATTTTCATCCAAGCGGATAAAACTTTGTTAAATATAGTGGATTGTTTTATTTCCGCTAAGCTAGTAGTAAATCTATATAAATAAAATGCTTATGCCGCATGTATGAAAGATCACCACTTGAGAACGGCTGGACCGATTTTGGTGAACACTCGCACTCAAAATTGGACCCAGTAAGTGGTGCTGTTGTCGAGATCTCGAAAACACTCGGACGAAGCAGGGGTGCATCCTTAATCAGCAAAAAAATTTGGTTATAAATGCGTTCCAACACAGTTATTTACCGTGTGTTTGTCAAGACTTAGTATTCATACGGACCTATTAGTTTGCGAAATGAATGTTTGTATTGTAATATAATAATAATCATCACTCAATTCTGAAAATAATTTACTTGATCGGTCGGATAAAAATAAGTCTAGTCTTATTCTCTTTTTATTTTTGGGCTAATAATAAAGTAATAAAAAATAATAAATAAACAAAACAAAGTAATACAAGAGTATATCAATGGAGATTGTGGCTAACAATACGAACAGGATTACTATAGATTAAAGACGTCATGTCTTGTAAAGTAATGTCATGCATAATACTACTCAATAGGGATGTCATTTTAATTTTATATTATAATTATTTTCTAGTAAATTAGAAGACATGAGTGTATTTACTTTCATATTTGGCATAATATAAAGAGACCAAAGATGACTACTTGACATTTCTATTTCCACGCATGAATTACACGCAACATCTTTCAACAGATTTGTCTCTTTTTGCCTTATATGAAAAAATGTAGAAGTAGTATACTAGTAGTTCTCTCTATGCATACGATTAGCAACAATTAGGCAGGTATTGCAATTGTAAACACACATTTTCGTACTACCACTTATTACAATAGTTTCCGATATCCTAATAAGATATTACGAAATAAGATTCCTTGAACTGCATTTTATACTGCCTCTCAGGTATTTAAATTTTTTTCCAGTCAAAAAGTTATATAAATGCTAGAAAAAGTGGAATTCTGTATGCGCAAGGGCTGGTGAGTACGGCGGATGACGGAGAGCTTCCAACCCCAGCTCTTGTTGTGGAGACCGTCTGTTGTGCAGTGTAATCGCGCGTTGTCGTGCACGTGAGCGGACCAATGATTGTCCGAAGATGAATTCTTGAATGTTTTCATTGATTACTTCAACGATTTTATCTTCCGTCAAGTCTTCTGTTGAGTAGTTTCGTAAACTGCAAAAGAAAAATGTTTTTCATATTGATAACAGATTTTTAGTTCAAGAAGAATCGGCGCATGAGTACTGAAAACTGTTCTACCTCATTTTTTTTTGAAAATTGTCTTTCTGATGATATAAATGCATGTTGCTATGGGGCAAGTCGGTGGGATATTGTTTTTAAAATGGCAAGGAATTGTTGTTTTCTACGGCACATTTCTTTATATTTTTTAATTAAATGCTAATAAAAACGGTCAAAAGATTTTTTTACGATAAAGTTAATTACGCATTAAAAAAATAAGGTGGAAGATTTTTCGGTAGTTATGCGCCGATTCCTCCCGAACTATTTTAGGTTCGGATGATTGGTAATGAAATAATTTGCTAATCATTAGTGAATAATCAATACTGATAATAATATAGAGAGTACGAATTTTGTGAGTTTGTCTACATGTAGGGTGATCTCCGGGACCACGGCACCTATATATTATTCGAGATGGTCATAGCCTAAATGTTATGTGTAATACTCGTATTATAGGTAAAAGTTAAACCAATTTCAACTTAAAAAATCCTAGTTTAATTAGCGCACATAATTTTTAAGCGCTTGCTATAATCTATAAGTTATTTATCAAAAGTTGTAATGAACATTT